CACAGAGAACTGGACCTGTAGGACTGAAGTAAAGGCAAAATATAAGTATTTCAGGAGCATGAAGGGCCAGTGCTCTGTGAAGCTCTGCCTAAAGACCATGCAAGGAGAGGGCAGCATTGCTCCCCTGGTGAATAGAAGGAATTTCCAGAAGAAATGCAGATTAGGAATATATTTAGGTTTTCGGTTGCATCTCTGAACACAGATACACAGACATGATACCAGAATTGAATATTTAGCATTCTTTTATCCTATGCTATGGAAGAGGGAGACTTGTGTGGAGAAGCTACTCCAGTGCTCACTAAACACCGGGTCCTGGCAAGCATCACATGTCTCTGAACTTCTCTGAGTACTCAGAATGCATGACTGCGTTCTCTATTCACACCTAGAGATGGTAGCACATGATTTACAGGTTGAAAAGAAAGTGAGAAGGTCTGGAAAGTCTAGGTTTTCTCCTGGCACAACTGCAATCACTGTTTAAATCTCCTCTCTTTCACCTGCGTCCTCCTAACAGTCTCTTTCCCTCTTTGTACGACCTTTTTGGTCTCTTTCCTACTCTAATTGATTGAAGACTTTCATGGTTTCTACAGATCATTCTAATATTCCACTAGACATTGATGTTTCCTTGTAACCTTTCCATTCTACCTTCCCCATTGCCTGACTTCCCTCAACGGCTTTCCTGTTGCATGTATGACCCTGATATCATAAAGAAATTAACTGGTGTGCAAGGTCTGGATAGGGGTTTGATAGAAGAGCCTTGGGTAGACTTGGGCTTTATACCCAGTGTATGTCTAACCACATGGCTGCCCTTTGGTCTGAAGTTTAGCCTCTGATTCCCATATTACACATATCCCATATCTACATATTGAAGATTCTAATGCTTCTCTGAAGGGCAAGTAAAGACTGCACAAAATGTCTCCAGCACAGGACCACAGGGCAGTCCTTCTATAGTCCACGGGCATAACTGCAGCCCATCCTTCCTCTCTGCTGATCTTTGTAAGAAAACCAGTGACTACATTTACAATGACACAATTTCTATTATAACAGCCATTAATAAACAACTATGCAGGTAGTAATACAGAATTTGTCTTTCATTTGATTAAAAAAATTTAAATATGTCAAAATTACTCAATTTTTTTTTTTTTAAATAGGGTCTTGGCTCTGTCACTTAGGCTGGAGTGCAGTGGCATGATCACAGCTCACTGCAGCCTCAAACTCCTGGGATCAAGCAACCTTCTCACTTCAGCCTCCTGTACAGCTGGAACTACAGGTGCATGCCACAATACCTGGCTAATTAAAAAAAATTTTTTCTGTAGAGACAGGGTCTCACTATGTTGCTCAGGCTGGTCTTGACCTCCTGGTCTGAAGCCATCTTTCCAACTCAGCCTCCTAAAGTGTTGGGATTACAAGCGTAAGCGACCAACACCCTACTGTAATTTGACAATTTAAATTCCAATCCATAATTTTTTGAAGTTCACAATAAATGTGTGTTAAATCCTCAAATATAGAATTCTACTTCTGAGTATGAGGGGGACTATCCCTATATCTATCCTTAGAGAAGCGTATACAATTTTTATGACTAAGTAAAAGAAAACATGGAAAATCCCTGCTTTTTTCCCCCAGAGAATGCCCTTTCCTCTTCCTCTTTTTAAAAAAGCAGCAAGCAAGCCTGGCTCCCGGCACAGTGGGTCTCACTGTGGTGCCAACTCTCCTGATTCCTGAGGAGACCTTGTTCAAGGTCAGCTGAGATGGCCTCAGAGGAGCCACACCTGACTGTACTGCTGGAATCTGATCTCTGAGTCATTCTCTTGGGAAACAGCTGATCTGGAGAGAGGCAAAAGTCAGGGGTGCTGGCATGAGAGGATGATGAGTCATTGACGAGGTACAAACCTCTCATTCTGGAGGACCAGCTTTAGGAAACACCGAGTTGGAAAAAAAGGTGTCTGGGGAAAACCAGCAAGCATTTTTGGTTAGGCCCATTTAACATACAAAATAAATGTGCGAAGGCTGTTGTTCCGAGCAATTTCTCAAATATCTAGCATGCACCATATTAAAAAGGCGAAAATCTGAAGAGAAGTTTTGAAAAAGGAAACCTTCAAGGAGAAATGGATTTTATCAATTACTTAAGTTTGAATAAGATAACAAGAAACAAAAAACAAAGGAAGCCTTCAGGCTTATTTCCTGAAATTGTAATTACATGCATAACGCACAGATATTGGTATTTGTGTATTCCTTTAAAAATGACTTACATATATACACTACTCAGGACATTTCATGTTCCAGGATGAAAAAACTCAAAAAGGTTTGACCAAAAGAACATTACAATATCATTTTATTTCATGACTTCATTTGCCTTTTAGTTTCCTTAAACAAGGAGCCACTTTTAAAAAGTCCCAGTGTGTTCTCTAAAAACAAAGTAATCTTAAACTCATATATTGAGAGCAGTGAACATTTAATGGCGATAACAATGCATATGAATTCATAAGGCTGCTTATCTGTAATTTAAGAATCTAGGAAAGAAAAATGTTTTAATAAACTTTAAATGCAATAATAACCTGAAAGTTAAAAACATTTGGATACAGATAAGAAACAAATTATGCTTTTCACAGCATTCTTTATAGCACTTTAAAAAATGTTTCAATCTACATCGGAAAACTGATATAAAAACAACTCGAAGTAACTTGCACACATTGACTTAAGGTTATTTAAGAATTAGGTATCTTAGGTATCAGGGCTAGGATTTACGCCTGCAACCCAGCTGACACTGTGTTGGTGAGTCACACGGCTAAGCTCTTTCTAACCTTCCTGATCTAGGTAAATAATAGTATTGATAAAGCTCAAGCCAGTTACTTATGCCTGTGAAGGTAACTGTCTGCCTGCTTTGGATGGTTTGCCTTGATGCCCAGAGGGACCCGCCCCTTCTTGTGTACCTAGGCTATATCAGACATCTCCATTGCTCTGTCTTGTTACTTTCCCTACACCCCCACTGCCTTGCTGCTCTTCTTACTTGGCATATGAGAAACTGAGGCTCACAGAAATAAAGAAAACCATCCCAGTCCACCCAGCTGGTTACTAAGCAGAGGAGCTGAGGTAATGGCCAGGCCTACTAAACTCTGTAGTTCTTCCCTGGCCACCAGGGCTGCGAACAACTGCTGTCGGCAACCATCCTGCTGAGCAGAACATCACACAGCCATGTACGAGAGAGAGGAGGGGTGGTGGGATCACAAGAGGGGACAACATGTCCTGGCTTGCTTTGACTTCCCAGTTCTAGCACTGCCAAGTCCCATGTCCCAGGAAATCCCTCAGTCATGGGCAAATCAGGATGGATGAGCCCCCTAGAATGGTGCAGAATGAAAAACATGGGACTGTTGGAAGGCATTCCCCACTAAGTACACTGGCACTCGGGTGCAGTTTTACAACCTCAGCTCCACAAGTGCTGGCGATGGCAGATGCAAAGCTCCTTCCAGTCAACAGGAGCCCCAGGCTTTCGTATCAGAGTTTCTTATATCTGAGATAAGAAGATAAGTAAGACGGCGATAAGAGTGAGAGACTTCAGAGTAGAGCACTGAGGGGTGTTGTTGGCTTTCTCTTTAATTCCTGTTTCTACAGATTGCACAATTCTGCCCGGCACAGGCTGATTCTTATTTGTCAGCCCAAGTTAAGATTCTTAGGTTCTAGAAAAGCGATCGCATCACCTGACAACATCCTGCATAATGCAATAATAATAAATTACAAAAATACATGGCTTACTATATAAGCAAGGGTACATTACAAATGGATGCGGGACAGGAAGCTGGAGGAAGGCTGTCAATCAAATCCAAGCATGGGGCCACTCAGAATGTGGGCACTGAGGCTGAGGCTCCTGAGGGTTGCTCTTTACACTTTTCAACTTGTGGTGGAAATGAGGGAACTGGAGAGCTGTCTTCATTTTCCTAAACATTTCTAACCTCCTCATTTGGTGTTATTGAGCTCTCAGTCCCTCCATAAAAGAAGGAACCATCTGTACTTTGACCACCGTTCTTCCACTTCCTTAGCTCCTTCCTGGAAGATCGTCTGACTGTAGGAAGAGACCTGGAAAAAATGTTCCCAGGCTCTCCATCAGCTGTGGGGACCAGAAAGGAGTCCCGGGAGCAGTGGGGATGTGGGGAAAAGTACCCTGCCATTCCCAGGCCTGCTGGCCGGCCATCCTTCAAAGATACTCCACCCCCTCAGTCTCATTTCCTGGACTGGAATTTAAGTTCTGCTTTCTCGACCTGCCCCCATTAAGGAGCCAGCCTGCAAAGCTCTCTCCTAGTCACCCACTCCCAGTGCCCCTGCTGCTGACCCTGCACCACCATCTCATTCCCCAAGCACAAAGAGGAAACTTCTGGTCAGGCCAGGTGGCTCATGCCTGTAAACCCAACACTTTGCAAGGGCGAGGCGGAAGGACTGCTTGAAGCCAGGAGTCAATATCAGCCTGGGCAACATAGTGAGATCCCATCTCTATGAAAAATTTTTAAAAAATTAGCCAGGCATGGTGGTGCACATTCATAGGCTTAATTACTCAGGAGGCGGAGGCAGCAGGATCACTTGACCCCAGGAGTTCAAGGCTGCAATGAGCAACACACCACTGCCCTCCAGTCTCGGCAACAGGGCAAAACCCCATCTCTGAAAAAAAAATAATTTTTTTTTTTAAACACAGAGGACTTCTAAATTCTTGGGAGATTACCTGATAAACAGCACACAGCATTTAACAAACTAACAACTAGCAGATACGCAGAAGGTGTATCATGAAACCCCTTAGAACGGCAAATGGCCATCACTGATACTTTGGTCCTGGAGAGGACCTCAAAAGGTGGGTATTTTATTTTATTTCATTTTATTTTATTTATTTATTTATTTTTGCCAGAGAGCAAAATATCTGAAACTTCAGCTTCTTTGTCTTAGTGCAATAATGACACAGGTTTTCACAGAGAATCAATACCTCCTTCTCAGAATGGATCAAAGCAAAGCAATATGCTTACCTGAGAGGGGAATGAGTATTTTATGGATGGTAGGCAGAGGTCACAGGAATGCTGTCCTTTCTTAAAATGCTCTCTGCAGCAGGAAATTGCTAAAAAAAATCAAAGGAAGAAAAGATTGCTTTTGCCTTTTTATTTGATAAAAATAGGCAGGCTATTAAATACATTTAGCAACCGAGAATGGTAATTCTTTTAAAAATTAGTCAATGCAGGCTGGGTGCAATGGCTCACACCTATAATCCCAGCACTTTGGGAGGCCGAGGCGGGCAGATCACTTGAAGCCAGCAGTTGGAGACCAGCCTGCCCAACATGGTGAAAACCTGTCTCTACAATCAAACCACAAAAAAACAAAACAAACAAACAAACAAAACCCACAAAAATTAGTTTGGTGTGGTGGTGCTACTCGGGAGGCTGAGGCACAAGAATCGCTTGAACCTGGGAGGTGCGGGTTTCCGTGAGCTGAGATCGTGTCACTGCACTCCAGCCTGGATGACAGAGCGAGACTCTGTCTCAAAAATAATAAAAATAGAAACTGATCAATATATTTAAAAAAAGATAGCACACATGTCAGTACACCAAAATGCATTAGTTTTTCCTACTTCATTTGGAAACTAAGTGTTTTGTTCACTTCAACTATTGTTTCTTTTTTAAAAGAGACATTTAACCATGGATAGCAATTACGCAGAAAGAAGAATATAACATCAAATTGTGATGAGTCGCATAAATAACGTTTCATGTGACATCATATCTTATTTCCAGGGCTATGAAAAAGTGTTAGAGTTTTAAGGGGCCTCAGAGCCTCTGGTTCTGTAGCCCCATATACAGAACTGGAAACTGAGGCCCATTCAAAGTGAGGGGCTCCACAGCACCACTAAGCTGGCCGGGGCAGAGCTCTTGATTGCCTCAGGAGCACCCTTCATCTGCACTGTAGCACCCCCATGCCAGGAATCATTAATTCTCTCATTCATTCAACAGGTACTGACTGAACACTTTCTACGGACCAAGTACTGTTCAAGGCTCTGGGGGTTAAGACAAAAAACCTCTGACCTCATGGAGTTTACATTCCAGAAAGGGGAAACTAAAGAAATAAACAAATACAGTAAATACTATCTCAGAATGACCCACTGAGGTGGCTCCATTAGAGCGAAATCCTTCAGGCAGTGGGGGAACAAGCCATGGGCTCTCTGGGGAAGCACATTCCAGGCAGCAGGGGGAGCAGCAGCTCCACTCTGCACGCTGTGCAAAGGCACCGGAGGTCGGTGTGGCTGTGAGGGTGGGGGATTGGTGGACACTGTATGGCAATGGATGGGCCCACCAATGGAAAGTCGGTGTCATGGACAGGCAAGCTGATGAAGGCCAGAGGGTTGGAGAATAGCTACTTAAAGAGGGGTAGCAAAGGAGACAGGGAAAAAACAAACCACAGACAAGAGAGCAACACGGGAGAATTGTTTCCTGTCCTGGAGGTCCGCTGGGTTAGAGAGCTGCTCTAAGGGGCTACCATCCAACTCAGGCAGTGGGGTGGGGTCTGGAGGGCGGGAAAAGTAAAGCCTGCACATTTTACAGCGTTTGAAAAAGTAAGTGTGGAAGCCTGACTAGGGTAACACATGACAGAATTAGGAGGATTTCCTGACTGCAGGATCTATAGAAGTAGAAATGCAAAATCTGTTTCCATGTAGAGATTTTACTGGTGGCAAGATCTTCTGCAAATAGGTGACCCCTAAAGTGGACTTCTCCTCCAAATTTGACAAGATTTAAAATTTAAATCCAATTAAATGTATAAGAAAAGCAAACACCTTCAAGGTGAAATCCAAGTGTTATAATCCAGTCTCAAATTTTACAAGCTTGTCTTTAATGAGCACATACAAGATAAATGACTTTCAGGAGTCTACATGCAGCCAAGAGTAAATGACAATTCCTGCCAATGCAAACAGTTCCAAAAGTAATCACTAAATTACTTAAGAGTATAATAGCAATCAAAGTGTTTGGTGATTCATCTAAGATGCATTTCTAAATTCTGGATACGTTAAAGAAAACTTCAATTCCCACAGGATGTAAATCTATGAACATATTTCCATGTAACAACCTAGTGTGTATTCTGAGAAGAGTTAGCAGGTAGAAGAGAAATGATACTTTATATGTATTGAAATCAATAAAAAACACAAAAACAGAATATGAAGCTAGGCCAGCTTCAACTTAATGCTGAGTTGTGAATGTGATGTCAAGATGGGCAGGAAATAGTTATGGGTTGGGTACCATCTCTCCTCTCCTGAAGCCCTCCCTGGCACTCCTCACCCCCTTTCTAAAAAACTGGTTGCCCCTCCTTGGTATCACCAAACTATGTATCTCTATCTGCCTCATGCACCCCTTTTATTACGAATTTAGCTGCTTCTCTTCCTCAGTAGTCACTTCTTACAGGAAGGGACTGTGCCTTCTTTCTCTTGATAAAGCTTAGCACAGAGCTTAGCACATGGTGAGTGTCCATGACCATAGAATACTACAATGAAAAATAACTACACTTAGATGAGAGGCCTAATACCTTTTCACATATTTTTCCAATCCAGGCAACTTTAACAGGTCAACCCTGAAATATTTATCAATTGCTAATGACAAATATCTATCAGGTTTTTGGATAATCACAGATGCCAAGTGACCAGCCACAAATCCACCTATAGATATTACCATGGAAACTCTTACATGCAATATCATGCACTACCCATTTCTCTTTCCTCTTCACAAATATTTTCCACACCTTGTTCAGCCCAGTTACTTTGCAGCACATCATATTTTTCATGGAATGACTTCATTTTGAAACTAGTGACCACTTTTCCTATTTAGACCTCAGGAGAAAATGTCAGAAAGTATCCCTTATAACAGAAAATGTTTTAATTTTAAAATATAATATTTATGCTTATGCTGATAGACCTATTGTTGTTTGGTCAGAAACGTCATCAGTAAAGAGTTACAGAATTTTAAGGAGGAAAAAGAACAACATTTTAAAGTGTCCAAAAAATTTCTTTTTATTTTCTTGTCACAGAAACATGTAAAGAGTCTTCCTAATCTAGTTTTTAAAACGTTAAGATGTGATACATCAGAAGATAAAAGCACATATTTTGGTTACTTTACAAAAACATAAATAACACTTGTTTAATTATGTTGTAAAAAGCCCCTTCGGTGTATATTAAAAGTCCCTTTGGGATATCATAATGCCGGTGCATTACACAGTACACAGATACATTCATATTTAAATTTTTTAAGAAGTTCCTCCTCCACACAGAAAGTCTTTAAGACCCAGCCCTAGGGATTTGACATCACTTAGAGCTACTTTCTACATCTTTCCATGACACACACCTCAAAGGGGCTCCCCCAAAAGGAACTTTAGACAATGTTTATGTGTGCCCAAGGCTTTCAAAGTAGAGAAAACCTTCTTGGAAATTATCTAAGACTAAGGCAATTTAGGGAGCATTTCAGGAGATAGAGGGACACACAGAGAGAGAGATCGATCCACACCAATTTATCCTTCCCTCCTTCCCAAAATGAGTGTCCAAGCCTAACTGTTGATTCCCAGAAAGGTTTTTCTGCACATCCACATAGAAGAGCACAGCAGGCAGAGGGAGGGAGGGAAACGAGAGAGGAGCCTGGACTTCTGGAAAGAGCAAAACCACTCTCACTGAAACTGCACTCTCCGCCACTGGTGCATATCTTCTGCAATGGGAACAGGCGTGGTTTGTATCAAGGAAGTGGAATGTGAAGTAGAACGACTGTTCCCAGGTTCATTTCACCACACAAGGTGTCTAAAACCTGAGAATGTCGCCAGCGGGTTGAAGTCACAAAGACACTGTATTACAAGCAACAACTACCAAACTTTCTTATTACAGACGATATTCTATTACAATTCAAGGCAAGCTTTCATAATATTCATTTTTTCCCCTTAAAAATGTTATTTGGATGCAATTTGCACTGGATGATTTACTATCTACCAGGATGGACTTGGAAGGGAATGTGGAGTGGGGAAGGAGGCACGGTTGGTCAGTACTCTGAAGTTTACTCTGTCAAAGAATATACTGAATCCCTTTAACCAGAATATAGTTCTAGATCAGAGCAGGTATTTGAACAAATCATTAAAATTGCATCATTTGGCTTTTCAGGAGCAGAGAAATAATTCCTGATGGTTTTCAGAGATTGCAAGGCTCTGGTGATAGCAGACGCATGGTGGCTGGCAGCCAGCCGTGTGACTGGTGATTCAATACACAAGTTTCTGTGGACTCTACAGCCTGATATGGGAAGGACATCAATTTTTAAGTTTGATGAATAAGTAAAAACAAAGGAAGTTTTGGTATAAAACAGGACACTATGGAGAAGGGACACTGAGAAGGAAAAACTCATGCTGCATTTATTTGGGATATTTGAACCTCAGTCTTGCCCATTTAAATATTTTTCTTTTAGAATGTGCCATTTTTTATCACAGATTATTTAAGATTATCAATTTTCAGGCAAAAAGTAATAGAAATAAAAATGTTGTCAAACAGTAGACAAAGTAAGTGGTAAGAACCCCACCTTCCTGAGACTTCATTTCAACTCCTAACACAATGTCCCTGCTAAACAAAGCCATGAGACAAAAATTTCTCTTTCAAGCACAGCTAAATATACACTTTAAATATCTCTGGCAGAATGGGATATGTTAACCCTCTCTGTATTTAAAAGGCTTAATAAAAACTACAAAAGGTGAGACAAAGAAAACCATCCAAAATGAAGGCTGCACACATCTTTGAAGAAACAATAGCACATTACTTCTGCTAAGGCACAGCTTCAACATCAGGAGAGTCACTGCCCTGTCCTAATTAGAGTGTGTTTCACTAAATTCTTCCTGATCATTCACTATTCAGCACAGTGTGGACTCAATGCAAACAAAGTCCACTGAGTACTGAAACGCACCTACAAAGACACTCAAACTGATGCAACATCGGGCTTTCCAAAACAGAAGCGAGCCGGTAAGCATCACTCCCAAGCACACACATGCACTCTCGAATCCAGGTAAAAACATGATTCCTTGGTGAATACTGTAAACAGGGTAGCTGTTTACCAGGCAAGCCTG